TTCTCTTTTCTCTTTCTCTTATTGCAGTGGAATGAGCTACATAGTTCATGTAGTTGGTTGCAGGACCATCAGAAGGATGGTTCTCTTTTTCTTGATTGCAAGTCTGTTTGTTGGGTCTGCTTGAGATAGGCTCCAGAGGCTCAGAAGCTCTGTGTGATAATGGTTTTCAGTGAAGTGTGCTGGTGAGCTGCACATTGCTTCTTACCACAGATTCAAGGGAAAAATGGAAACGTAGAAACAGAAAATAGGGTAACATAGAAAATCTTTGGAATTTGGAAGCTTTCAATTGCAGCTCTGAACAATTGTAGGAGAGCTTTCTTGTCAGCTCCATTGTTCTCTCATTGGACTCTTCTGCTACAGGCCTGGTGTGGATACTGACATCATCTTTTGTGCTTGACTGTAGACCCCATGACTTGCAGTGTTCCCGTCTCTGATGTTATTCTCCAGAGGCAGCTTCTAATGAAGAAAATATACAGCAAAGCTGGAACAAAGTCCCCCCTTGACTCAGTAGTTAACGAGTCTGAACACAATGCACAGTTTCTGCAGGCAAATGATTGAATTAAAAAGATTTTCTTGTTTTTTGCAGAAACAAGTTCATCAGATTTATTCGGTGTGGAGGGCAGCCTCTGAATCACACTAGGCAGTTCTGCAAATAACAAATGCAATTTTCTACTTCTGTGGGAACAGGTACAAGAAAGAGACAAAAGACTACAGTTCTTTGCCGGGGCTTCAAGTACTCTTTTCAAGAACCATTGAAATATGAAAGAGCAGCAGACAAAAACTGTGAAGTGGATTCACGTGCTTGATGGCACCTCAGCGTGGGAGAATTTCAGCCCTATTCTGTAATTTTGCTGCCAGCCTCTAAAACAAGCCATTTGGCCAAATYGATGCTTTGTACTAGCAGCTGGCAATTTGCCTCTCAGCTTCTTTCCCTTAATAAGCTTTGTTCATCAGCAAAGTGATATACATCAGATGGCACAGAGACACAGTTAGTGGCAAACAAGCTCAGTCTTGGAACATTTTTGGTSTACAGAAGAATGTTTGTGTGGTTGTCTGGTTGGTGCTCTGAAAAGTACGGAGGATTGTACTGGTTTTAAATTCTCTCAGTTACTTTCGATATCTTACAGTTTTGAAGCATCTATTGACACCTCTTTGGACTCTGTCCTGTGCGGAGTCTGGTCTGCTCATTCCCATCAAAGAGAGCAAGCTGTTGGACTTTCTATTAGGGAAAACTACCATGGCATCTCTAGTGCAAGGATAAGGGGCAATGCATGTGGCCTAGCTCTGGCTTCCTTACAGGACACGTCTCCTCCAAAGACTGCAATAGCTTGGTACTGTAGTGTGCTTCTGGAAGGGTGGTTTGTGAGCTCTGCAGCCCTTTTGGTTTTGCCAGCTTCTGCCTTCATAGCCTTGGCTACCATAGTCTTGGGCTATAGCTGTGCACACCTGAGTGTGCATAAAGCCATTTGCATGTGACTTTGGTCAGTGGAACAACGGGAGCAATGGGAGTTGGGCATCCTAATGGGAACGTGTCCATAGTGCTGCCAGTGTCCAGGCTGGAAGCAACTCGCAGCCTCTTGACTGCTGCACACTGAGCTGATCGACTATCACAAGCTGCTAAACTTGCAGAGCACTTTGCTACCAGAAAAAAAAAAAAAAAATAGAGGCAATATTTTAACAAATACCACAGTGATAATACCAAATACCAAACCTCCTGTTTGAAGGAGATTTAACTGGGTAATGCTGGTAAGCTTTTGCTGCTGCTGCCACCACTGGCCCTCACAGCTGATGATAAGACCTTGATTTCTACACCAGCCAAGCATGTCAGCCTGGAAAACCTCAGAAGCACCATCTTCACTCTGCCACAGTCCAAGTGTAAGAGCTTTCTCTGTGGTGCTTGTATTTAAAACATCTTTAACCTTTCAACAAGTGAGCATCTATGTTTAGCCTAATAGTCCCAATGACGTGACATTTGATTTCATTTCCACAATAAACACAGAGTTTTATTTAGAGTTTTATTCTCTCTKAGTTTTGCAAAGTATAGGAAAAAGGAGAAAATATTTAAGCAGACTGAGGCTCTGTGGCATTTGCACTATTGTAAAGTGAAGAGCCTCTGAATTTCTATTGAATAGAGCCCTCAGAAAAGAAATAGATCTGTTGAAGGATGACAGATCAGTGCACTTTCCATTACATAATGGGATTGAAATGGATTAACAGGACCCAGGCTTTTTTTTTTCTTGAGAACTGCTGCCTTCATCACTTTTGTTTTTTCTCTATTGCTGGTGCCTCTGTCACAGCACTAACAGAAAGGTTTTCTTTGTTGTTATTAGCTGAAGAAGTAAATTGCAGCATTGTTTGCCCCGATCAAGAGTTTGATTTGTCAGACGTCCCTAGCTGAAGGGAAAAATGTTCCTCATTACCAACTTTAAATGCAAATGCATTTGTCAAGCAGAGAAAATTGCAGATTKTAAGTGTTTGTGGGGGGAGAATGTCTTTTTCCTTTGATGTGCTGCCCACAGCCATTTATGGATTTTTAAAAGGCAGCTGTCTCCTCAGGACAGTGAAAACACAGTGTGGGAAAGATGCTGTGCAAAAGAACGTAAAACTTCAGTGCTTCCAGTTGGGTGTTTTTCGGTGYGTTTTCACGTGTTGCCATGTCTGTGGGCTTTGTCTTGTAGCGTTTGCTCTTTCTCTCTTACTAGGTGCTTTTATAATCTGCTGGACCCCGGGGTTAGTGCTGCTGCTCCTCGATGTCTGCTGCCCGCAGTGCAACGTCCTTGCCTACGAGAAGTTCTTCCTGCTCCTGGCTGAGTTCAATTCCGCCATGAACCCCATCATCTACTCCTACCGTGACAAAGAGATGAGCGCCACCTTCAAGCAGATCCTGTGCTGCCAGCGCAGCGAGAGCGCCAACGGCCCCGCCGAGGGCTCCGACCGCTCCGCATCCTCGCTCAACCACACCATCCTGGCCGGCGTGCACAGCAACGACCACTCCGTGGTGTAAGGCCCGCGCCGGCCCATCCCCACCGCCGACGGACGGACGGATGGACGGGCGCCGCGGGGATGGGAGCCGGGCACGAGGGAAGGGAGCACACACACACACACACACACACCCACACCCACACACACACCAGGTTTTTCTTAGACACTAATGGACTGCAGCGCTTTTGTTTCTTCCCAGGAAGGCCTCCCTTGGCAGAGGGCCTCCCTCCCCGCAGGACTCACCTCGTGTGCTGGACGGGCCGCGTGCTAACGCGCTGTGGTTTCTGCTTCCAGACGGTGGAAAGCAGATGCCTGGCAAGGGAGCCCGCTCGTGGGGAGCCCCGGGAAGGCCTGGTTTAGACGGCGCTGACTAGGCTTCGCCCGACCCTGCTACGTCCTGGTGCCCGTCGGAACCCGCTCTGATTAATTAAGCTTATACCTGCTTCACTGCATTTACATGTAGCCACTTAGTCTTTTTTTTTTTCTTGGAAAAAAAAAAAAAAGGGAAAAACAAGAAAGGGGATAAAAGTAAGCTTTTCATTTAATAGATATGTAATATTTATCACCATCAGCATGCTCATGGTGAATGTTTTCTGTGCAGGGAGTAAAACTGTGCTCTAGTCTTCATATTCTTAGCCACACTGCCGTAACTGCCGTAAAAAAAAAAAATATTTTTTTTCTAATACGAGCAACAGGAAAGTGATGGAAATTCTGACCCACTTCTTACCCTCATTACTGGTCTTAGAGAGCATGCATGTTCTGTGTGTATGCAGAATGTTTTAATTATATATATAAAAAAGCTCATTGTAGAGTCAGCAGGAAAGTAGAAAAACATAGACTGTATTCCAGTGTTTGTTTAGATTATGAAATAAACAATACTTTAGTCACAAGATATTTAACGTTCTTCTTTGAAGTGTGGTATGAAATATGTAATGTGTAAGGGGTCCCAGGTTTTTCTTGGACAAGTTCTTAAAGTAAGATACATCTCTAAAGCTCTTAAAGGGCTACAGTCATGTTGGTAAGTTAAAAAAAAAATGTATTTATGGTGTTGGAATGCTATTCTTTTTCATAATGGAGTGCAAGGGGATTTTTATTCATGATGGAGTGCAAGGGGATTTTTTAGGTGAAAAATGTTTACTTTTTTATGGAACTTTTTTGTAAAAAACCCAACTTCTATGGATTTTTGCACTGAGAGGTATTGTAGGGTATCTTTTAAATTATTTACCCTTCACATCAAAGCAATGGATGACTTCTTGGAACCAAGGTACAATTTTATTTTGTAGTATCAAGACCAAATATATAATAGTCCATTGCCAATGACCGAACAAGTCTAGGTGTAATGCACACACATACACATCATAATGGCAAGTTATGCTAACATATGGATTTTTTCATATGTGGCTACTTGGAAGAGAAATGCCACTCATATGAATCTCAACTCCCAAGAACCAGTGATGTTAACTACAATTCCTTGATAGGAATAAATGTGAGCAAAGATGGAATCTTGCAAATAAAGAACTTGGGACCTTTCTCTGGGAAACTGCATGCATGTAAAGTGTTTTCCTAACATTGTAAAATGTATCAACAGTAAAATCCTAAGACCATTTTCCATATTGTTATATGCTTCTTTAATAAAAAAAAATGAGGTATATCAGTCTGTATTTTGTATAAGGCAGTAATATAAAGGGCAACATTTTCCCATGGAGGAGGAAGGTCAGCCTAGTAAAAGGCAGAGTTTTTAGAAACGCCTTTAAAACTCTAAGGAAACATGCTCAGAAGAGGAAGCTCATTGCTCAGGGAAGGAAGAGCAGGTGAACAAAACTTGTCCAGAATGAGTAAAGTGGGAGATTTGCCACTGAATTTAGTCAAACTAATTAGTGTGGTCACTCTAAAGAGGGGATGTAGGCAAAAGGGTAAAAGTTGATCAAAATATCTTCTGGTAGTTGACTATGGTGTCAAATGTTAACGCTTGCCTTGGACAGAAGAAGAGTTTTTGCTGACTGTGTTTGAAAGAAAGTGAATCCAAAGAGCTTCTTGTTTGTTTTGTTCTTTTCATTCACATTTCAACTATATTTGAAAAAGAGAACAATCTGTATGGTTATATATATAATCATGATGCTATATATTATATATATAATATCTGCTTGCTAAGGCACTCGTTATTTTTCTTAGTGCTTGCATGATTTAGGGCTGCATGCAGCATTCAGAAGAAAGTGAGTTGGGAGGCAGAAGTGCCTCCAGAAAGGAGGTCATCTCTCCAAAGAAAAAAAAGGGTCATTTCTTTACAGTGCTAAGTTTCTTTCTTCCCTCTTGAATATTTTTGAGAGAAAAGCAGATACAGAAAATGGACCAGGAAATTGGTCATTCCCACTTTCCTCAAAAAAAAAAAAAAAAAAAAAAAAAAGGTCATCATAGAATCCCTTTTCCTAATGTCCTTTTAACTGCTGTTAGCATATTCTTTACAGAGCCTGTCCAGGATATGCATGGTAAGATAATATTAAGAAATAGTAGCATATTATTCATGTCAGTCTATTGTGATGGAAGTGTGTGGTGGTGGTTTTGAAGAAGCAGTGGCTGAAGGAATTAACCAGGAGTGGGATCATTCCACACAGATGGGTCCAGAGGTCCCACATGAAGATGAATCCATGAAGTTTATTATTATTATTATTATTATTGTTATTATTATTAGCAGTTGATCATAGCCTTTCCCAGGAAGGCACTAGGCAACTCAAGAAGCGGAAACTTTCTCACTTTTAACAGCAGTTGATTCTCGTTCATCAGGTAGGTTAATTAGGTGTTTCTACTTCAGCAGCAGGTGTTTCTACTTCAAAAAGGTAAAGCACAAGGCTTTGGAGCAAAGGCAAGAGGCTGTAAAACTACTTGTAAGGTTCCACCACAGGAACTAACAGAGTATGTGGCTGCTCTTAGTGCTTTTCTTTTAATGAAGTGATCTCCCTATATGCTTAAGAAATTTGATGTGTGGATTGAGTGTTTCTCTGCAAGCTAATGATATTAATGCTGCTGAGAGTAAATAGAATAAAAACAGCAACTTGGAGTGATTCATTTGCTACTTTTTTTAGAGTAGTTACCATGTCACTTGATTTCATCACAGATTTTTTAACTTTTATTTCTCCATTATGATTTTCTAGCTTAGTTGTGGAGTTGCAGAACTCTCTTCTGCACAGTATTTGCACAGGCAAAATACTTGGAAAAAAATACTCCACTTATTTTTACTTATCTCAAATCCTACAAAAGGTTTTAGAAGACTTCTTAAAATACTAGCAATCCTCCCACAGTCATTAAAATTCTTCTGTAGCTGGCTGCCTCTTGCTCAAGTAAATCCTCTTGAAGTTCAAACGTAATGGTGCTTGTTTCAGGGATTGCAGTGGTGGGGTGTTGTGCAGTAGAAGCAAAATGGGTGATGAAGTCATTTTCAGGTCAAAGAAAACCTTTTTTTTTAATTACTTCATTTATTCAATGGCAGCACATGTCTGGAAACTGATTGAAAAGATTGTCCTTGGATGAGGGGTTATTTACTGAAGTCTTAACTCCCTTTATATATCAAGTAAGACTTCAGAGAAGCCGAGTGAACTGTTGATCCTCAGAGCTGTTAATCACAGAATTTGCATGAAAAGTCAAAAATAGATTCTGTTTGGCACTCATTGCATTTATCGCTGACCCTGTTGTTTGCTCTGTGTTCTCTGATATCTCCTAGTAGCTTCAGGCAGGCTGCTAGCTGGGCTGCTCAGAACTGGACGTAAAGCTAGCCCAAGAAGCAGCAGTTAGCCAGTTATAAGTCTTTCCATTGCTTAAAAAAAAAAAAAAAAAAAAAAAAAAAAAAAGCCTACCCATAATATGTCAGTAACTGTGATTTTTAAAGTAGTTGCCCCAAGATCAACCATTTCTTAACTCTTGACATTTCCCAGCAGGTCACCGTATGGAATTGCTTAAAGAAAGCTGTCATCAAAGACCTGCCACAGGTCAAGAAAAGGCAGGCACRTGATGATCCATCTGAGCCTGGGCAATTGGTGCATCAAAGAAGATATAACGGATTTCTATGGTCAGCGTTTAAGCTGTGCTTCTTGTCCAGTACAGTTTAGGGATATCAATGCAAATTTCTCCTGATATGTCAGGATGAAATGCCGTTTCCACTGTCAGCAGGGAGATTTGTGGGAATACACCTACATGATGGTTGAGTCCAAACCATTCTAGAGAAAGGCTGGCTGCTAGCATAGCCCAAGCAGCAATCTGAAGCACGAGTCCCAGGTGGCTCCCATTTCTGAAGCACGTTTATGGCATCTTACGTGCTGGGTGCTGCCCTAGAAATGGGCCACCAAGCTTATCACAGAATCACAGAACGGTTAAGGTTGGAAGGGACCTCTCGAGATCATTTAGTCCAACCACCCTGCTCAAGCAGAGACACCAAGAGTACATGGCACAGGGTCTCATCCAGGCAAGTCTGGAAGATCTCCAGAAAATTGTTGCAGGGCTATGAAGATGATCTGGGGCCTGCAACATCTGCYCTATGAGGAAAGGCTGAGAGAGCTGGGCCTGTTCAGCCTGAAGAAGAGAAGGCTGAGGGGGGACCTGATCAGTGTCTATAAGGGAGGCAGTGAGAAGGATGGTGGTCACTGACAGAACTAGTGGAAACAGCCACAAACTGAATCATCAAAARTTCCATAGGAATTTAAGGAAAAAATTCTTACCAGTGAGGGTGACAGAGCCCTGGAACAGGCTGGCAAGAGAGGTTGTGGAGTCTCCTTCTCCGGAGATCTTTAAAAACTGCTTGGACRCAGCCCTGTGCCATGTGCTCTAGGTGACCCTGCATGTGCAGGGGGGTTGGACTAGATGATCTCCAGAGGTGTCTTTCAACTTTAAGGATTCTATGATTCTATGAGAAGGAGACTCCACAACCTCTCTTGCTAGCCTGTTCCAGGGCACTGTCAACCTAGCAGCAAGAAGTTCTTCCTCATACGGAGTTGGAGCTTCCAGTGTTTCAATTTGTACCCACTACCCATTGTCCTGTCACTGGCCACCACCGAGAAGAGTTTGGCCCCCTGCTCCCTACAGTCACCCCTCAGGTACTTACACATATTGAGCAGTTCTTCTTTCAGTCTTCTCTAGGCTAAACAAGCCCAGCTTGCTGTGTCTTTCCTCATAAGAAAGATGCTCCAGTCACTTAATCATCTCTGTTGTTTTATGCTGGACCCTCTCTAGAAGCTGAGGAGCCCAGAACTGCCGAAAATAACCCATGTGCTGCCTTATCAGAGCCGAGGGGCAGGATTCCCTCCCTCAACCTGCTAGCAACACTCCTCCTGATGCAACCATGATCCCATTTGCTTTCTTGGCCACAAGTGCACTGCTGGCTCATGGTTAACTTGTCCACCGGGACTTCCAGGTCTCTCTCTGTCTGCAGTGCTGCTCTCCAGCAGATCAATCCTTAATCTGTCCTGGTGCCTGGGGTTATTCCTCCCCAGGTGCAGGCCCCACCCTTCTCCTTGTGGAATCGCATGAGGATCCTCTCTCCAGCCTGTCCAGGTCCCTCTGAATGACAACACAGCCCTCTCTAGTGTCGGCCACGACACCTTATCCAAGTCATTGAGGAACAAGCTGAACAGTACTGGGCCCAGTACAGACTGCTGGGAGACACCACTGGTCACAGTCCTCTAACTAGTCCTGGTTCCATCATCTAGTCTAAAGTAAGCTGTTTTTTTTCTGCCTGACCCTGCTGCTATCAGCACTGCTGTTTTCACTACATCAGGTGTGTGCAAACTAACCCACATTGATTTTTCTGTCAAAGAAATAAAATCCTACCTAGCAGATTGTTTTCCCAGGTGGCATTAAACAGGATGCCAGCAAATGGACAGGCTTTGATACAAGCACATATAGTTTGTCTTTCAATCAAATCAAAGCAAATTGTTACGAAGCAGAGCTGACAAACACATTTCTCCAGGACACATACACTGCGCACTGAGGCACGACTCTGTTCCTGTTCTACCTGTAATTTCCTTGGAGCCTTTTTAATTGTGAAATGGGATGGAACTGGCAGAAATTAGGCTTGATGGACTGGTTCTTTTTCTACGTGTTGCAGAAATAACATCATGAAACTTAAGGACATGTTTTTCATTTGTGACCTTTTTAGGAGCTTGTCTGTACTAAAATTTACAGTTGCTGTAGTTAGCAGTGCTAAACTAGGATGAAAGATGATAGCATTGAAAAGTTCTTTTATTTAATCCTAATTCTGCAAGTAGAATAGGTTCTTCGGTGAAGAACAGATGAGGCCATGGAGAGCTTTGCTGTTCTCTTTCAGCATAGTAGAAGTTTATTTATTTGTAGTGTATCTAATCTCCTGATCAGCATTTCCAGTTGGCAGTCAGCCTCTGCTATACACATATTAACCTTCATAGAGGGTCATTGCAATTGTGATCTCAGTTTTTCAGCTAAATCACTCAGATTTCACAGCTTGATTGGCCATTTTAAAAAGATAGACACTTTAAAGTGTTGTAAATCTCATGCTTG